ATTAAATCTAAAAAATCTGAAAAAAATATATGTTAAAATATATAATATTATCTTTATTTTAATATAAAAATAAAAAAATATTTATTAGTAAAATTAAAAAATTTTATATAAAGAAAATCTTGCATTTTATTATATTTAATTAATAAATTTTGATATTATAATTAAAGAAATATTTAAAGTTTTTTATATAATTTTTATAATTTTATAAAATATTACAAATTATAAATTTAATAATTTTTATAATATAATTATAATATTGAGTACTTGCAAATTATTATATAAAATTTTTGATTTATTGAATTTTTATAAAAAATATTTTTGTAAATATCAATTCCAAATTAAAATTTCTTTAATCTATTTTTTTTAAATAAAATATTTAATAAGTTCTTTTAGCAATTATATAATAATAAATATAAGATTTGAGCTTAAGTTCTTTATTAATCTTATTAATAATTATATTAAAATATTATCTAATAATTATTTAACTTTGTAATATTATTTTAATATTTTATTATTACTTATTTATTTTTTTTAGAACTTATCTAAATTATTATTATAGTTATATTAATTATTTTTTTCAATTAAAAAATTTTAATATTCTTTTTTTAATAAATTAAATTAATTATCAAATTTAGTTATAATATTTAGATTTATTATTAGTAGATTCACAAAAGATTATAATTTTCAAGCAAATTAATAATTAATTTTACTAATAAGATCAAGTATATTTGTTTAAATTATCTTATAAATTATATTTATTCTAAAAATAAATATTATTTTATTATTAATTAATAAGTAATTTGATTATAAATTAAATAAGTAATAATTATATATTATTATTAATTTAATTTAATAATTAAGATATTATAAAAAAAATTCAAAAAGAAAAATAATCAATAAATTTTTTAAAAAAACCAAAAAAATTATAGTATATATAAATAAATTATTAAAAATTTCGAAAAAAAATAAACAAACTATTTATATTAGTTAAATATATTATATTATAATATAATTTAAAAAATTCAATTAAGTAAAATTTATTAAGAGTCTTAATATTTTATTATTGCTTTAAGTTCAAATAAAATTTGTTTTTTATAATATAATTTTAATTATATATTATTGAATATTTTCTTGATAATTATTTTTGTTGATTTTATAATTTATATACTTTATTTTAATAAATTAATAATATTATTCTTCTTTCATTGTAACTTGAATTTATTTTTAATTTCAAATTGTTTTACTTTTTATAATTTTCTATTATATTATTCTTTTGATTTTTCTTATAAGAGATTTATATTTTGTTTAATATTATTAATTTACTTAAATAAATAGTTAATAAGTATAAATATTCTATTTAATAATTATTTTTTATTTTTACTTCTTTTTTGAATATTATTTCAAATTGTAATTCTATGGATAATTTTGTTTTTCTTTTATATATTAAAAAGAATAATTTATATTTTGTAATATTATTTTATAATTAATAATAAATTTTTGTAATATTATTAATAATATTCAGTTAAATTATTTTACAATTTTATTATTTATAGATAATATAATAATAAATATTTACATTATATTCTAAATTTATTGATGAATTTTTTATTATTTGTACTATAAATTCTATTTTTTAATCTAATTATAATATTTTTAATTATAATATTTTTAAATATTAATATTAATAGATAATTTTTTTAAATATAAATTTATAATAGTAGTAATTTTTTCATTAAATATTATTTTTGTTTTAGATTATTTTATTAGATATTATAATATATTGCTTTTTTTGTTGAGTTTATTTACATAATTCAATATAATTAATTATAATATAATCAAATAATTATTTAACTTTAATAAAGTATAAAGATTTTTTAAATTGTTAATTTTTAATAAATTGATATATAGAGCAAAATTTTACAAAATTTTTATATTAGTTTCTATTTTATTTTACAAATATTATATAGTTATTTATTAATAAGTTTTATTAAATTCAAGTATTCAAATAATAAAATTTTATGTATTTCTTTATTATAACTTTTATTTTTGTTTTTTAATACTTAAATAAATTAATAATATTTTTTAATTTTATATAATAGATTAATTTATATAATAAAATATTTAAATTATTATTAAAATTATTTTTTTATTATTTATTAAGAGTTATATTATAAGTTCTATTTTTTAAAAATTAAAATAACTTATAATAATACTAATAATACATAATAATAAAGAATTTCTTCACTTTTAGTATTAATAACTATATAAAAATATAGAAGAAAACAAATTAAAATTAGTAAAAGCAAAGATAAATATCTAATATCTATATTAATTTCTATAAAAATTGTTAAACATTCTTATATATAAAGAAATAAAAAGTTTAAAAGAAATAAAATAACTAAAGAAAAATTATACTGATCAATGAAATATTAATTGCAGAATTATTATATTTATATTTATCAATATTAAAACAAAATAAACAAATATAATAAAAATATCAAAAATATAAATAAAAGTAATATACTTATTTAAAGTTAAAATACTCAACTATATCAAAATAATATAAATACTAAAAGAAAATTACTTATTTAAAGTTATAGTATAATCTTTTTAATGATATTAAAATCATTTAATTTGATTTACTATATGTGAATATATTTGCATTTTATTAAATTAAATTTTTTTTCACCTTTCATTACCAGGTTCAAAGTTTATTATAATTCTAATAGTAATTCAAATCCTCAATGAATTATATGTTTTCATATTGGTGGTACTAGTATTTAATCTTCAAGTTTAAAGTACTGATCTTTTTTAAATTATCTAGTATTCATCAGATTATCAAATACTTGTTCATTAATTTCTGGAAAAAATTGAAGGTGAGAAATTAATTCCAAATAATAATTATATTTGTTAAATTTGTATATGAATTTTGTCTTGGCAAGATTAATGGCAGTAATATTTCACAAAGTCTTTCTATTAGATATTACCAGATTATTCATGCTGATTTGGATTTGATAATATGAAGAAAATAATAAAAGGAAATCAAAGCTATCAGTAATTGAGTGAATTCTCTTTGATAATATTCTTTTTCATAATGTATTACAAACTCAGAAAAGAGTCTTTCAATTTTCTTTAATTTATCTGAAGTTTGTATGCATTAACAAACTTTGTTCACCTCTTTAAATATTTGAAAAAAATAAGAAGCACTTATTCTAGAAAAATAGTCAATGATGTTTTACTTACTTATTATCCAGATTTTTGGATAAAAGTGATATTGAATACAATATAACCTGTTCATCCATCCCTCCATCTTGAATAATCCAGAATGCTTTGCAATATTAATTAATGGCTGGCTAAATTCATATGACATGTTTTTTCGAGTTTATCAATAATACTTCTGATTTGTTCTCAGTCATAATTATTCAAAATAATTATGACAAGCAATCTTATTCTCTTAAAAGCTTATTAACAGGTTTTTTGTATAAACCTTCTATAAGTTTTTTCTTGTCTAACACAAAAGAAAAGGAATACAACAAGTAACAGGAGAATTGGTAAAAGAACTTAATTCGAATTACATTCTATTTCTGTTTCGAATATCAGATGTGGTTTCTCTTCAGCAAGTCTAAGTATGGCTTCTTCGAATAATGAATTCGCCGAGCTGAATGAGAAAAGAGAAAATTTTTAATTATTTAATTTCGAAGAGAGTTAAGTAACAGTAATGAAATTATAACTTATGCAAACCATGGCTGGCTCACTATTTTTGGATCATTATACCAAACGGCTTGACTTATTAGTCCTGTTTCTAAATATAGATTTTTGAGTATATCAAAATTTTCTAGTCTTGAGTTGAGGTTAATATCTGGAATGAAAGAAAGCCAATGCTTAATTTTATATATGTATTAATACGGAAAAAATAATGGTCAAATATATACATACATTCATACAAAGCCCAAGCGGCCATATATAACCGAGTCCAGTATACCTATAACTTTTTTTTCTTCGAACCAATATTTATTCCAATCTGACCCAATCAAAGACCACGTCGACTGGTAAAGTTGATCTTGGACATCAAGGAAACCAATGTAAGGCAGACTTAATACGTATACTTGGTATGTTGAGTGCGTAATTTCCGAACGCCGAATCTTGTAATTGTAGCATTTCATGCAAGTGTAGTAACTCAACGGAAATCATTGCATTCGTTGGTATGACAAACGGAAAATCTGAAGCATCATCTGATGGACGAAATTGAGATTTCACGAGTCCTAATATAGACCGATTTCTCGATTAATGGATGTTTGTGTTTTATTACAATATGGAGTACGTAAATGTAAAATTACAGACCTGTTCTTC